AAGATGAAAAACAAAACAAATATTGGAGAGGAACAAATTCTGCTATAGCTCTCCCCAACATGCATCTCTATCTTTCATTCTTCCAACTGCTTACTTACAGCATCCACTATCATCTCAAAGTCGGTATTTCTAAACTTGTCTTTTCCCTTGGCTTCTTTACAACAGAAACTTTATCTGACACAAGCAGAAACTCAAGATACGTTGTTGGACAGTTGAATTTTATTAAGTGCCTCCTTGTTTCTTGCCTTTCTCTTCATTATCTCTAAGCTCAACCCTTCCTTTCCACTCTATTATCAATCCCTGGTCCATGCCCAGATGGCTACAGTGGCTTCCTAAATAATCTCTATCGCCAGCCTCTCTTTCCTCTTCTGCTTTCTATACACCATTACTACATCACAACAACCCTAATCCTTAAAAAATGTGTTAAGTCCCCAATGCCTACAGGATATACCTCAAATTCAAGCCTATCCCAAGTCCAAATCTAACTTATATATCCAACTGTACCTCTCTCTACTCTGTTCTGTAAATCTTAAGCTCATCCAACTTCAAAAGTTCTGCTTCTAAACTCTTAGTCAGAACCAAAGATCTGAAACATTTTTCCTTTCCTTTTTATCTAGTGCCCATCTACTTGTTCTCCAAGATCTTCCACAAATTTTATTTCCCAAAAGTTTTCTTTAGCCACAGAAGCTCAAAGTGATCACTCCCTTCTTTGAATTCCTGTTGAAACTGCTATCTATGTCATTCACTTGAATTTTATCATCTACTGTCTCATATTGCAAATGGGACTTATGTATACCTGTGTCTTATTCACCTTACCAGATATTAAGTTCCCTTGGATGACAGGAAATCTGTCTTGGTCATAGACTAATATAGTACATTTCCTTGTAAATCCCCAAATGTGTGTGTGCACGTATGCGTGTGCATGTGCATGTATATGCACATAGGATGCTAGGGACTCAACCCAGGGCCTTGGTGCATGACAGGCAAGCACTCTACCACTGAGCGACACTCCCAGCCCCATCTCAAGACATTTCTGTGCCGTAAGTTTTCTCTGCAATTGGATTTTGCTAAGGTTCCCTACAGTGATAATACAATATTTGATCTCATTAGCACCTAAAACTTTAAATATTGGGGTTTATTGATAATAAAGATTCTTTCCTTTTAAATTTTTTTATTATTATTAATTTTATGGGAACATTTTAGATCCACATAACGACCACATTCATTAGAGGAAGCTTGTACCTGCTCATGACTTTCTTGATTCATCTTTTTTCCCAAATTCCTCTCCTCCCTTCAATGCCTCTCATCCTCTTTATTTATAAAAGCTTTGTTTCCATTTTCTTCCTTCTAATTATTTTCTTTTACCTTCCTTCCTTTCCCCCTCCCCATCCTTTATCCCCTTCCCATTTGAATATCTTTTCTTATTTCTAGGAACCTAGTGTGTCTGATTTATTTCATTTCAGCATATGGACTCTTTTTTCCCCTTTCTTCTTTTCTCTTCTCCTCCTTTCCTAGTTCCTCTTTCATTTGAACAATTTCTTTCTATTTCACAATACCTCTTATATACGTTGGTCCTTATTTATACATTTGGCATCTTATATCAAATGCAGAGAAACAATGCAACATTTATGCCTGTGAATCAATTTGTTTCACTTACAAGTATGTTCTCAACATGCAACCCTTTTCCTAGATATCTCAATTTATCCTTCTTTATGTCTGAATAGTACTCCATTGGATAAAAAAACCAAATCTTCCTTACCCATTGAGATTCTTTCTATTAAAAAGGTGGTAGTGTTTTCAGAGCAAAATGAAGTCCTCCAAGAGCACCTAATGTCATTCCTCTAGGCTTTACTTTAAATAGCCCTTAAAAATAGCATTAAATCAGGAATGGTGACACATTCCTGTAATCCCAACACTCAGGGAGGCAGAGCCAGAGAAGCATAAATTTGAACTTAGAGACTTAGCAAAAGCTGATCTCACCACTTAAAACTGTGCTGGGGATAGAGCTCAGGATTAAGGGCTTTGGCTCAATCCCTCACACTCCTAAATGATACATAAATAAATAAAATAAATAGCTGGCTCTTTATGGGTGCTTCAATATGGTCCCAGCATTACTGAGACTGTCACATGGGTGACCTATGGAGGCCCTAAAGGACACATACCAATTGATCATTATCAACCCCCAATATAACTAGCATTTATTTTGCTTTGATGGATACCAAAGCGCTTGTACTTTGACCACATCACTTGCTGCTTATTAAGCAGTTAGGGCCCATAGTATAGTGGTTATTTCCATTCTGTGGATGCAGAAAAAGACTCAGAAAGGTTACTTTAGTAAGGTTTCCGCATTCACGTGTGAAAGTCTCTGGTGTCACATCTTTGGTGGCCCTGGATTTCCAGTGCACACTATGGCTTTGCAGCTCCCTCTTGCAGCACAAGTGGGAGTGTTCTAAGGCAGCAACACCTTTCTGTATGTCATGCCTGTGCAAAGCCTCTGCTTTTTCTCTGCGAAGAGCAGGACTTCCTCCAGTATTGCAACATATCACCCACACAGCTCAACTGTGCTGTGATAACCCAGTGTCACTTCCTGAGTGAGCTGCTGTGCGAGGTGAGACAGACTTGGTGCACTATTTGTAGCCGCATGGCTTCACTGCTACCAAGAAGCTCTCAGCCTTAGCAAACAGCTCAATACTTCTGGATTTTGAGAGACCCCATCAGAACAAGTCCCACATCCTCTTTGTCCTCTACTACCCTCCTTAACCCAAAAGGAGGTAACAAACTGGCCATTAGGGTCTGATTACAAAAAAACCTTGAAAATGGGAGGTCTGAAACCAGGGTTGGCTATAAAAATTGCAGGACTTAGTGCAAAATAAAAATGTGGGGTCCTTTGTTCAAATAGTATTAAGAATGTTGAGGAGCAATTAACCAAGTTCAGGTCCTGCTAAGCTCAACTCTCGGCCATTGCCCAGCTCACTCGGCTTACTGGAGACAGCAGGGGAATCTGGCTGGAACTTCTGTGTGCCCCTCTGCCAGGCAACATCAACCCAGTAGAACAGTTTATTTGGGGCAAAATTGGTGTTGGAAGACTTTCGCAAAGTATGGCTGCTATCACCAAAGGCAGCATTAGCCTAACTTTCTGTCCCCCAGTAGTTTGTTCCCACTGCTCTTTGCATTTGGTACCCATCATCATATTATTTGTTGTATACACAGCTATGTGATTCCTTGGGCTATTAACTCCTTAGGGCTGCAGTGATGTCCTATTTATCTCTGTCTTCTTAACACAACATCTGACCACAATTAGCTTGTAGATTGTGTCCTTATTTCTCCCCTATTCCTTTCTATTACCCACACATCCCGCAGGACCCTGAAATGTCTTGTCTTAGCCTGCAGGCCACAACTAAATCATCCAGGCCTGGGATTCTCCTCCTAAAGAAAAACCTCCAATAATCTGAGAGGAAAGAGGTTTACATCAGTATCTTGGGACTAGTGCAGTAGTTACTGAGCTGAAGGCAAGAAACCCATACCTTGCCATCCGTGAGAAAGCACCATCAAAAAAAAACCTTTTTTTTCACAACACTTCAAAATGACTTGGACTTTCCTCTGAATGCCAAGCCCTGTGTAATTTTAGTCAGTCTGAACCCACTTATATGGAAAACGTGAGCTGGCCACACACATAGCTCTTGCCTGTCAGAACTGCTCGACTAGCTGTTTGTGGTTAACATCCTTTCTGACTTCAGTGTCCATGTGACATCGGTGATAAGTACTTTGAACATCACCCTTCTTGACTCCAAAAGCTATTTCTCACTAAGAAAACCTCAGTGAGAATAACATGATAAAGAAGGAGGAGAAAAAAGGGAACATAACACCTTATAATTATATTGCATCTCTTTTTACAAATGATAGAATTTTCGGCACGGCTAAAAAGATAAGAAGTATGAAATAAAAGTGGCCTTTATTTTAAGAATGTGGAGAGAGGCTCCATGACCTCCGGGGTCTGGCATTCTCTCCACACGCCCGACACGTGGTATGGGGGCATACATGTAGCTTAAGTTTGGGGTGGTGCGTAAGGGGCATTAGTGATGCACAGGTAGCCCATTGGTATTCATTTAGCACCACAGGTAAATTGCTTAGGGGCGGGAAAGGTGATCTCAAGATAGAGCCCCCTTGGTTCCGCCTCCCAGGCTCCCACTGGCTACAGTGTCCCATCTGGGGCAAAATCCTTTCAACAAGTACATATTCAATTAATTTATCTTCACCAGGTTGATAGAGAAGAAAGGAAGCTTTCCATTTTTTTCTTGTTACATTTTGAGTACTTGTCTTTCAGTTTTCGTAAGGAAATAGTCCCTGAATTCCCAGCATAGAACAAATTTCCCTGTTTAATTTTTCAAAGTACATGATACTTGCATATTTAGTATTTATCTCTTTGTCTGTGTAGTTATCTGATTGACACTAATTTTTTTAAACTGTAAATTCAGCAGGGATTGTATCTGTTTTTACTTGTGGTTGCATCTCCAATACCTTATATCACACTTAATACTAGATGCTCCACAACCAAGCAGCTTCTCAGCCTAGATATTCCAGGTCCTCTTCCAAAGCTCTTCCTCCACTCAGTTATATGACTTTGGAGAAGGAACACACTTGATGTCTTGGACACTGGAGAGGTTTGTGCCTTTTATCTTTCAAATGTCTTCTAACTTCTAAAGTCTTCTACTCCTTCTATCTAGGGGTACATCCAGTGAGCATTTTAATGAAATGGATCCTTAGAAATTCAGTGAGAAACTTAACTTTTTGAGTGAGAATCCTTCAGAAAATTTAGTTGCCACAACATATGAAATATACCTATAGAATGCAAAAAAAAAACAAAACTGGGTGGGGGACATAGCCTCAAGAAATTGTATTGTCTCTGTGAAAGCTCCTCAGTGAGACACCAAGATGGAAAGACAAGGAACAGTGTGAATGGTGACAATCAGATGGTCACAATGGTCTATTTATATTCATAGGCCTGGTAGCCGCTGGAAGAGACACAGATCCCCTCATAGTGAATGGGACTCTTGGGGAGTCAGCTACTTTCCCCTTAAATATCCAAAACTCACAGCAAGTTAAGACCATTGCTTGGACTTCGGAATCATCAGTTGCTTTTATTACACTAGAAGACTCAGGAAAAACAACCAAAGTTTTTGTGACCCACAATAAGTATAAGGGACGAATAAAAGTCATAAATGAGAGCTACAACCTGGTCATTAGTGACCTGAACATGAAAGACACAGGAAAATACAAAGCGGACATCACCACCACCGACACCAACACCATTACAAGGAGCTACTACCTTCATGTCTACCGTAAGTGCTGGGGAGAAGAGGGCATGGTTGCTACTTTTGCTTCTAAATTTGCTGTCTTAAAACACCTGTATTTTTTATAACTGGGCATGAATATTTATCGAGAAGTAATCTTTTTATCATCCTGACTTTGCCACCTTTTAGCTGTGTGATCTCTCATCAGCAGTCTGAACTCCGAGCCTTGTTATCCTCTTTTGTGAAATGTCAATAATCATACTATTCGGGTCCGAGAGTTATATGAAGATCTAATGGCATAGTGTGCATTCAGTGGATTTTCTTCAAAAGACTATTTCTATTTTTAAATAATTGCAACTGTGTTATGACTTGTGTCTAGATGTCCCCCAAAGCCTCTTGCAGTCATGAGAGGATAGGGGCAGGCTTTTCTGAGATAGCTGATTCCAGACTGTTTGATGCTGGGATTAAGGATATGAGATTAGTAAATCATTCCAGATAGGCTGGGCATAGTTCTGGCTAGGGTTAAGAGTATGAGTGTTACACCCACCTAAGGCAGGTTGCCAGCCTACAATACACAAGACAGAAAGAGTTATTTTCCTCACTTGTTGCTTTTGCTGTCCTCTGCCGCCATGAATGGCTGCCTCTCTGCTGTGCGACCCCTGCCTTAGAGCCATCCAATTTTGAACTGAAACCTCTGCAAACTGTGAGCTAAATAAACCTTTCCCCCTTAAACTGTGAGTGTTGGGTATTTTGTTTCAGCAATGAGAAAAGTAACTAAGACAAGGTGCAAAGAAATGTAAAACCAAATTTTGTGTAACCTTCACCCAGTATTAACATCTTGTACAGCTATAACACAGTATCAAAATGTATAGATTTCAATGGAAGTTCATCAATTATAGATGAACTTGTTTCTGTGTGAACATGTGCATGTGTGGTCTTGTAGAGTTTAATTACATGTGCAGCTTTGTGTCAGTCCTACCACAATCAAGATCAGTAACTGTACCATCCCAAGATTCCCTCTTGCTACTCCTTTATGGTCCTTCTTTCATCCTGGAAATTACTGATTTGTTCATATCTATGATTATGTTAAATTTTATGTGAGTGGAATATATTTATTTGAGTTTGTTTATACTCTGCATAATTTCTTTGAGATCCATCCAAAGTACTGCGTATACTAATAGTTTACACATTTTTTTTGAGACAAGGTCTTGCTGTGTAGTACAGCCTAGCCTTTCCTTGAACTCACTATGCAGCCCAGGCTGGCCTTGCATAGTATCCGTGGTGGAGACATAGTTCGTATAACCATCCACCTATCTAAAGACATGCTAATTATTTCCTGTTTGGGGCTACTACAAATAGAGCTGCAAGTTTCTATATGATGCAAATTTTCGTTTCTTGGGATAAATGCCTAAGAATGAAATCAGATGGTAAATTTATAAGAAACTGCCAAGCTGTTTGACATACATACCAGGAATTATGCTTGCTTTATTTTCTCCACGTCCACACTGGCATTCAGTATTTTTTTTTTTTACCATAATGCCGCTTGTTGTTTTCTTTTTTTTAATATTTTTATTTTAAAGAGATTAAGACAAAAGAGGACAAAACAAAGCAAATCAGAACAGATCAATTTAAGCAACACAGTATTTCACCATAAGACAACCCGATATAACAGTAGCTACCATAATGTCTCTTTCTTTGAAATAATTGAGCATATCTTCATATACAATAGTAACAAACATAACAAAAAATTATAAAACCATGCAAGAGAATGAAAGTATTACAGGGCACTCAGAACCAAATAACAGAAAGTGAACAATGGCTACTATATTATCTCATTTCCATAAAAATAATTTGTTTATAATATCACACATAATAAAATCCAATAAGATACAACATGATACAACCAATGGAAACAGAAAAACAAAAGCATGGTAGGACTTCAAAGCAAGATGATATTAAATCAGCATTGGCCGTTATAATGTTTTGTTTTCTTCAAAATGGCTGTTCATATCATCACAGATAACAAAATCAAACAAACCAGGATAAAACAATTCCAACTAATGATTGAAAACATTATAAGGCTTCAAAGCAATGTAATGGGAAATCATGATTACCATAAACTCTTATATACTTTTACCATTTCTTACACTAGGAAGATTATATGGTATTTATACATTTGAGTTTGATTTATTTCGCTTATGAGCATGGTCTCAAGTTGCATCCATTTATTTATAAATATCTTAATGTGATCATTTTTATAGCTGAGTAGTACTCCATTGTATAAAAATACCACAACTTTTTTTATCCATTCCTCAGTTGATGGAAACTTAGGTTGTTTCCAAGATCTAGCTATTACAAATTGTGCTGATATAAGCATGGGTACACATATATCACTGTGGTATGATGTTTTCAGTTCTTCTGGGAATATGCCTAGAAGTAGAATACCTGGGTCAAGTGGGACTTGCAATCCCAGCTTTTTGAGGAATCTCCAGACTGACCTCCACAGTGGTTGTACTAGTCCACACTCCCAACAAAAGTTCAGGAGAGTTCCTTTTTCCCCGCAGCCTCACCAGCATTTGTTGTTGGTAGTTTTCTAGATTCTGGCCATTCTTTCTGGAGTGAGATGGAATCTCAGTGTGGTTTCAATTTGTATTTCTCTAATGACTAATGATGAACATTTTTTCATGTATTTGTTTGCCATTTGTATTTCTTCATCTGAGAACTGAGTGTTCATCTCAGATGCCCATTTTTGGATTGGGTCTTGAATTTTGGGGATCTGATTTTTTTTTTAATTCTTTATATGTTTCAGTCAGAAGCCCTTTCTCTGAGGGATAGTTGACTAAGATTTTTTCCCAGTTTGTGGGTTTTCTTTTCACTAAGCTGGAGATTTCTTTTGACATGAAACTTTTTAATAAGACATGATCCCAGTTATTGATTCTGGGAAGTATTTCCCGTGTGGTTTGATTCCTGTTCATGAATTTTCTACCCACCCCTATGTCTTCAAGATCTTTACCTAATTTGCCTTTCAACAGATTTAGTGTTTCTGTTTTTATATTCAGATCTTTGATCCATTTAGATTTTAATTTAGTACATGGTGATAGGCATGGGTCTAGTTTTAGTTTTTGACATATGAAGATCCAGTTTTTCCAACACCATTTATTAAAGAGACTGTCGTTCTTCCAGTGAACATGTTTGACCTCTTTATCAAAGAAAAGGTGGTTGAGTGTGTTTGTAGTTGTGGTTGTATCTTCTAATTTATTCCATTGATCTTCAGATCTGTTTTTATTCCAGTACCATGTTGATTTTTTTGCCGTAGCTTTGTAGTATAACTTCAAGTCAGGGATTGTGATGTCTCCTGCCTTGCCTTTGCTGCTTACAATTGACTTTGCTATTCTATGTCTCTTCTGGTTCCAGATGAATTTTAGGAGTGATTTCTCTAGATCTATGAGGTATTTTGTTGGTATTTTCATTGGGATTGCATTGAATCTGTATAACAGTTTTGGGAGAATGGCCATTCTCACCATATTTACTCTTCCTATCTATGAACAAGGGATGTCTTTCCATTTTTGAGATCCTCTTTGATTTCTTTTTCAGAGTATTATAATTTTCCCTGTATAGAACATTTACTTTTTTCATGAGATTAATTCCTAAGTATTTCATTTTTTTGTATACTAGTGTGAAGGATGTGACTTCTCTTATTTCTCTCTTAGTGATTTTGTTGTTAGTGTATAGTAATGCTATTGATTTCTGCGTATTGATTTTGTATCCAGCTACATTGCTGAATTTATTTATTATATCTAGGAGTCTTTCAATGGAGTTTTGGGAGTCTTCTCTGTAGAGTATCATCTCATCTGCAAATAATGATAATTTAACTTCCTCTTTTTCTATCTTTACTCCTTTTATTTTTCTCTCTTGTCTGATTGCTCTGGCTAGTATTTCCAGTACTGTGTTGAATAGAAGCGGTAATAAGGAACATTCTTGTCTTGTGCCTGATTTTAAGGTAAAGGCATTCCGTTTTTGGCCATTTAATAGAATGCTGGCTGTTGCTTTGTCATAGATGGCCTTTATCATACTGAGGTAAAGACCATCTATTCCAATTCTCATTTAAGGTTCTTATCACGTAGGACCTTATCAAAAGCTTTTTCTGCATCTTCAGAAATGATCATGTGATTCTTACTTTTGGTGTTATTGATATGGTGGATTACATTTATTGATTTACATATGTTGAACAATCCCTTCTTGTTCATGATGTATATCTTCTTGATGATTTGCTGCATCCTGTTTGCCAATGTATTACTGAGGATTTTTGCATCTGTGTTCATTACGGAGATTGGCCTGTAGTTCTCTTTTAGTTGGTTCTTTCTCAGGTTTTGGCACTAAAATAGTATTTGCTTCCAGGAATGACTTAGGAAGAATTGCTTCCATTTCAATTTCATTGAAGAGTTTGAGGAGTGTCAGCATTAAGTCTTCCTTGTATTTCTTGTAGACTTCTGTAGTGAATCCATCTGGGCCTGGGCTCTTTTTTGTAGGTAAGGACTTAATTACATTTTCAATTTCATTAATAAATATTAGATGATTCAGCTGTTTTACATCTTCTTGACCCAGCTTTGGTACTTCATATGTTTCTAGGAATCTGTCCATTTCTCCTGTTATCAAACCTATGAAAGTAGAGGTTTTTGAAATAGGTATTGATGATCTTCTGTATTTCCAAAGAACCTGTAGTGATTTCACCTTTTTCATTTCTTATTGCATGACTATGAGCTTTTTCTTCCTTTTTTAAAAATAAGGTTGACCAAGGACTTATCAATTTTATTTATTCTTTCAAAGAACCAAATCTTTGATTCACTGATTCTTTGGATTATTTTCTTAGTCTCTATTGCATTAATTTCTTCTCTGATTTTTATAATTTCCTCCCTTCTTTTGACTTTGGGTTTCACTTGTTCTTTTTTTTTCTAGCTGTCTAAGGTGTAGCATCAGCTTGTTTATTTGCATTCATTCTCTTTTCCTGATGTGGGAACTCAGTGCAATAAATCTTTCATTGCATCCCACAGAATCCAGTAAGTTGTATTTGTATTTTCGTTTGCTTGTAGGTATTGTTTAATTTCTTCTTTAATTTCCTCTGTGACTCACTGATTGCTCAAGAGTGTATTATTCAATTTCCATGTGTTTTGGGTGTTTTTGCAGTTTCTTTTATCATTAATTTCTAGTTTCATGGCGCTATGATCTGATAACTTGCATAGGATAATCTCAATTCTTTTGCATTTATTTATATATGTTCTGTGAGCTATTATATGGTCTATTTTAGAGAATGTCCCATGTGTTGCTGAGAAGAATGTATATTCTGATTTTGTTGGATGGTACACTCTCCCAGGCCAGAGTTGGTGTGCAAGAACTCACCTCTGTCAGTCCTGTTCCCCAGATTTAAAGAAGGTTACTGGGCAGTCCAAAAGAAGGTGGCCCAGGCAGTCCAAAAACCTGAAGAGCCTAGTCTAGTGTGGCTGGAAGTTGGACAGGTCCTTAACCACTGGCAGCAATGATCTTCAACTCTCCCCAGGCTGGCACTGGTGTGCTGGACTCACCTCTCATAGCCCAGTTCTCCAAATTGAAAGAAGGTCACTGGGCATGGCCCAGCTAGGCCAAGAAACTTGCAGAACCCAGTCTACTGTGGCTGGAAGCTAGGTAGGTCCATGCCCACTGGGAGCGATGATCTTAAACTCTCCCCTGGCCCCCACCAGTGTGTAGGAACTCCAGCATTCAGTATTTTTCATTTTGACCATTCTGATGAATGTTAGTGATATTTCTTCCTTTTTTTTTTTTTTTTTTTTTGTACAGCAGCCCCTTTGCTGAGCTAGCTCACTTCTTACACCTCATGTTTTGGGGGCTGAAACACCAGTTCACCTACTGCACTCCGTGCTCTCAGGGTGTTTCTCAGGTGCTCCGTGCCCTTGGAGCACTACTGTTCAGGCACTTGTGCTTTTGGCTCCACACATGAACAATCATTAGCTCAGTGGCTCCCAACAAGTGCCTATTAGTTTTACAGAATTTTGGGTTTCCAAGTGGTATTCTCAAACATGCATATAATACATTTTTTGACATATCCATCTCCCCTATTACCCTCCCTTCAGCTCTCTCCTGTTCTTTAATTCCTCTCTCTTGTCTAATAGTTACCTTATACTTGCATGCTATCTTCTTTAAAATATAAAAAAGAAGCATGCATTACTTGTATCTCAGAGAAGCTTATTTTGTTTAACATGACCATCTCTAGTTCCATCCATTTTCCAGTGAACAACATAATTTTGTTCTTCTTTATGGTTGAATAATAATCTATTGTGCATATATGCCACATTTTCTTCATTCGCTTAACTGTTTTTGGCCCCTAGGCTGCTTCTGTATCTTATCTATTATGATTCTATTTACACATATATTACATGTTTATTCATGTACGTTGAACTATCCTGCATCCCTGGAATAAAATCAACTTGACCATGATGTATGATCTTTTTAATGTGTTGTTGAATTAGGTTTTCAAGTATTTTATCATGGGTTTTGGCATGTGTTTTCATCAAGGACATTGGTCTATAGTTTTCTTTTGTGTTGTGTCTTTCTCTGGTTTTGATGTCAGGGTGATATAGAACTTATAGAAGAGTTTGAAAGCATTTCTTCCTTTTTTATTTCATGATGTAGTTTAAAGAGTATAATGTTAGTCCTTCTTTAAAGTTCTGGTAAAATTCAGTAGTGAATTCATTTGGTCCTGGGCGATTCTTTGTTAAGAAACTTTATTACTGCTTCAATCTCATTGCTTGTTACTGATCTCTAAATTTTTTTATATCTTCTTGGTTCAATTTTGGCAGGTCACATGTGTCTACAATTTCCCTCTGGATTTCAAAGAAAGCTATTTCTTCTAGAATCTCCAATTTATTGAAGTATAGATTTTCAAAATATTCCCTAATGACCTTTGGGGTTTAGTAGCAGTTGCTGTAATATTTTCTTTATCATCTCTAATCATGCTGATCTGAACCTTTTTTTTCTCTTCTTTGGTTAATTTGGCTAAGAGTTTTTCAATCTCATTTATCTTTTAAAATCTTTTGTATTGACCAGGCGTAGTGGTGCAAACCTGTAATCCCAGCATTTAGGAGGCTGAGGTAGGTAGATTGTGGCAAGTTCAAGACCAACCTGGGCTACAAAGTGAGCCCAAGGCCAGCCTGAACTGCATAGTGAGACTCTTTCTCCAAACACATAAAATAAAACAAAATCCTTTGTATCATTTCACAAATCCTGTATTTTGTTTTCTAAATCCTATCTGTTGTTTTTTAGGCTCTATTTCATTAATTTAAGATGTATCTTTTTATTATTTCTTTCCTTCTGCTGGGCTTGGCTTTGATTTTTTCATATTTTTCTAAGAGTTTGAGATACCTTTTTAGATTATTTACTTGACATGGCTTTGATCCTTTTTTCAATATAGGCTTTATCACTACAAACATCCCTCTTAAAAGAACCATCTCTGTGTCCTACACAATGTGGAATGTTCTATATCCTTTGTTATTTGATTCAGAGAATTTTTTGAATTCTGCCAATGTCTTGAACGATTTTCTGACCAATTAAAACCCAATTGTTGAATCTTTGTGACTTTGTATAGTTTCTATAATTTCTATTGCTGTTTATTTCTACTTTTATTCCTTGTGGTCTGATAAGATGAAAAAATAACTTCAGTTTTTATGTATTCAGTAAGCCTTGGATCATGGCCTAAAATATAACCTTTTTTGGTGAACATTCTATGAGTCACTGGAAAAGTATGCGTATTCTGTAGTTTGGGTAGAACATTTTGTTAATATCTGCTTAACTCGTTTGATCTGATGCAGTTTTCCTTTGGTGTTTTTTTTGTTGATTTTGTATCTGAATGACCTATCAATTAGTGAAAGTGGAGTGCTGAAGCCACCTTCTTTTATGTCAAGCAATGTTTGCTTTATGAAATTGGATGCACTGATGTGCAGTGTGTATGTATTTGCAATTGTTATCTCTTCTTTGGTAGACTGCTCCATTCACCAATGTGCAGTAGTCTTCTTTGCATTCTAACTTTGTAAAAGTCTTCCTTTTTTCATATGAGCATAGCTACTCCTTGTTTTTGGATTCCATTTGCATGGAATATTGCTTTCTATTTTTCCACTTTCGGTTGCACATTTTTTGCCTGTGAATTGTATTTCTTGCAGGCAACAAATAATTAGGTCTTGTTTTTTAATCCAATCCGCCAAAGTGATTGGAGAGCTAAGATCATTTATATTCAGTACTACTATAGAGAGGCACATATTAATTCTTGTCAATTTGTTGTTTTTCTAATATTTAATTCTTTCCTAGTTCTCAATAGTTTATATAGTCTTTCTTTTTCTTTGTGTAGGATTTCTTTAAAAATATTCTTCAATGTTGTGCTTATTGATCATAAATTTCTTTAGTTTGCTTTTATGTTGAGAGGACTTTATTTCTGCTTTGCTAGAAGAATAGCTTTGGATATAGTAATGTAGGTTGGTATTTATTTTCTTTCAGAGATCAAAATACAGTCCATGCACTCCTAGCATTTAGAATTTCTTTAGAAAAAGTCTTCAGTTTTTCTGATAAGTTTGCCTCTATTAAGAAACTTGACTTTTCTTTCCTGAAGTTTTCAATAGTATTTCTTTATTTTGTACTATTGGCATTTTAACTCTAATATGATGCAGCAATACACTGTACTGCAACTTCTATATTTTACCTTTTGATTTGTTAGGAATTTGTTTGTTTAGAAATTTTTTAAATGGCTTATTAATGAGATTTTAACTTCTCACCATATTTACTTTAAAATAAAATGAAACAAAAAGAAAACATATATACATCAGAAAAGAGACCTAAAAAAGTATTTTGAGATTTTTTTGTATGTAATAGTGTGCTGATAAGTGTACAATTGTGTGTTAATATTATCTTTATATATGAGCACTTATAAGTATGTGTATATGTATATAATTTATACTTAGTATAAATTTTACTCACATCATCAGTTTCATAAATAGTAGTAAAATATATAATTATCTTTATTGCAAATACTGTATAGCCATTCTCACAAAATGCTTTCATTGGTTTTGTTAAACATGTATATCCTAACCAACTGTGTTTGCAATTGCTAAATGAGTGTAGTTGCAAAGTCAATACTGAATAACAGAAAGTGATTTAACAAAGGTGTATATATTCAAGCTTCATTTTAATCAATAATGCAAATGAATTCTTTATTAAGTATATGTGTATAGTGCTTTTCAGATGCTGGAAGAGTATTCCTTAATTTTTGTGTTTCCTGCTCACAATGTAATGGCTACAGGTTTACTTTTGAGTTTAATATTAATTAGTAACTTTTTCCTCCATTGCTTTCTCAAGTCAAGCAAAAATAAACAAATCCCAAACTTGTAACATTTGCCAATTTCTGCACTATAAATACACCTCTATGGCTGAGTTTAAGACCTGCAGAGTTGGAAGGACATTGCCACTTTTACACCATGACCAAGGACAAATACAATAGATAGAAGTCACCTCAAGAGCATAGGCAATAGTATAGTGTCAAAAATTGCTAAAAATGATGAGGATTTAGACTTCAGTTTTTGTTTCGTTTTGAGACAGGTCCTCACTATGTAATTCAGGCTAGCCTTCACTCACCATATAACTTAGCTTGTCCATGAACTCAAAGTGATCCTCCTATCTCAGCCACACGTGCACTATCATTATAGGTATGTGCCACCATGCCTGGTTTAATCCTTTGTTTGACGCCTGTATTTAACAATCATCTTGCAGGATTTCTGAAATTTTAGCAACTGATTCTCAAAAGCTGATGTAAGCTAACCATGGATTCATGTGCTTTTCCTCTGTAGGTCGGCTTGGGAATCCAAAAATTACACAGAGTATAATGACATCTGTGAATGGTACCTGTAATGTCACACTGATATGCTCTGTGGACAAAGACGAAAAGAATGTAACATATAGGTGGAGTTCTGCAACAAAAGAGGGCAATGTCCTTCAAATCATCCAGACCCCTGAGAACGAAGGGCTGAATTACACATGTACAGCCCAGAACCCGGTCAGCAACAATTCCAGCTCTATCTCTTCCCAGCAACTCTGTGCAGGTATAAAAGCGCCTCTTTCCTGATGAGTCTCAGGATTCACTCTGAAGAGCTCTGGGGCCTAAATTTGGCCTTATCTGAAAGGGAATGTGCCTCCCTTATTCTGATCATGGTTCCAGGGAGCATTTCCCGCCCCAGGAAGCTCACTGGGGAAGATGCCAACGCTTCTACAAGGTGCTAAGCCTTTCAGGATATTCTGAGTTAGCCCTCAGAACCTAAAATACCAGGTTCTGACTTTTCATAACAGAAAGTATAGTTTCCCCAGGAGTTTTGTCTCTCCCTGGATGCCACCCTAGTTTGATAGTGGTCCTGACTGTGCATAAACCTGCCAAGCATCTTGGGCTGTTTTCTGAAAGTCAAGACTCACTGCAGCTTCTATTTTCAGACACTGCAAAGGACTTCAACACTCGCCCCCGTACTGAGCTGGGGATTGGGCTGCTTGTAACCTGTTTGCTGGTTGTTCTCATTCTACTTCTAGCAATAGGATTCTATTTCCACAGGAGAAAACTAGGTAAGATTGTCCCAGAAGGTAGAATGTGCAGATGCATTTTCTTTCTTCCAGAGACCAAAGTCATTTACCCCAGGTGGAGTAGAGAAATCCTTTACCACCCTTACAACAATGCCGATCCCACCATCTTACCACATCCTGGGTTAATAACTCCGAAAACTATAAAGATACAGGCTTATCTCTCTTTGCTGCTTGGGACCTCACATGGAGCCTGATGCAAACAAGAAGTTTAACAAATCTTTATTCATTCTGTGAATGCATCAAAAAAAGCAACAACATTTGTGAAGCATCTATTATATGCTAGTTACAGTAAAGTATAAACCAGAATATTGCAAGACAGTGTGTGATCATAGACTGTCAAGTTCAACAAATAAGATGGTGATATGCAAAGTCAACTTGCCATGGAAAGCCTTCAATATCCAGGGCAAGAGAACCAAGAAAGACCACAGGTATAAAAGCTACCTTTGACTGCCCACACAAGGTGTGGGGTGATTCTTTGAGCCAAAGATGGACTCTATAGTAGAGGAGAATTCCCAGTGAGCTAGACCTGAGTCAGTGCCTCCTGTACTATGAACAATCTCTGGAAAAGGAAGTGATCATGCAAGGATTTAAGCATTCATCTCAATAGTGTGGGAGCCATGTAACCTCTCAGGAAGTTTTTCTGCATCTTAAAAAGAGAGCACAGGATTAAATCATCTCTAAATACCTACTCACCTTTCACAGATTGTTGTTTTATGTTTACCTGTGACAGATGTTTCCTCAGAGAACACAGTATACACACATGTCAAGGGTTCAAGAGACACCAAGCCTGTAGAATCCAGGATCTATGATGAAATCTCCCATGCCAGGGTGAGTGCATGCCACTTCATGGACACCTGCCCTACCACCGGGATGGGCGATCATTACCTTCTGCTCTCTGCTACCTACAAAGAAGCTACAGCAAGAATCTGGGGGATAGGTCTAACCTCAAAATACCATATCAGCCAAATGATGCCATGAGTCTCTAAGTGGGCAGGAATGTGGCCAGTGTCACTCCATGGCAGCCTCCATGGTTTGAAGCCCTGAACTTCTACATGGAGGCCTGGCTCTGGGTTAGGTGAGATCCTATCTCAAAATAAAAAATAAAAAGGGGTAGGTATGTAGCTCAATGCTGCAGGACTTCACTGGGCTCAAGCCCAAGTTGGGCTCAAGCTTGCACTTGATTAAGAAATACCCTCTCAAAGTTACCAAACAAGCGAGCCCACAGTGTGAGGCAAGGGCTGTTATGGGGCCACTGATCTGGTTTGCAGGTCACAACACCGCCAGAAAGGGCACAAACCTGACAGAGTTTCCTTGAGCTACACTGCTTGGTGCAGTAGCTGGAGCAGCTTGCTTTCCTCCAACTCTGCATCACTCTGTTCCACTCTTTCTTCCTCTGCTTAGCTCACCTCCACCTGGATCACTATCATGTGTGTTTCCACCATCTTGCTTCCCTGTAGACAGCAAGGAGAATAGAGGGAAACATCCCTCAAACTCTGTGCTTGGACTGATAGGGATCCATAAGAGCCACAAAAAGCTGAAATCCTAAGACTCAGTCTGAACCACACAGATCTTGCTCTTGGCTCCCAAGGGGTGTTTTTGCCTCAAGGCCCTGACCAAAGGTCACCCATACCCCCACTTGCTCTGGATCTTCTGCAAAGTTAGATGAAACCAGAGTGGAGGCCAATTAAAAATAAAAAGCCACCTAGAGAAGCAGGACTACAAAGAGGTAACGGGCAGGGCAGAATTAGGAAGGGAAACTCTTAAGATTTTACCTCAGTTCCGTCACTGACAATATGACGGGTGTTTTCTAGGAGTCTTCCCTCAAGAAAGAGCCAGTACAAACAATTTATTCCACAGTGCAGTCCTCCGATGAGGTAAGTTTTTCTGGCATGTGAGGGATGCGGGGGTTACTGAAAATTGAACTAGGGCTTTTGCACTGAGCTACACCCCAAGCTCTTTTTTTGTTTTGTTTTCTTTTTGTTTCTGTTTTCATTTTTGTATTTGTTTTTGTTTTTAATTCTGAGAAAAGATCTCACTAAATTACCCAAACTGGGCTCAAGTTTTGATCACCTTGCGTTAGCTTCCCAGAATGCTGGGATTACAGGCATGAGCCACCACATCCAGATTTTTACCTTGTTCTATCTGTTCCAACCATTCTGGTATACCTTATCCATCACCATGTCATTTAAAATCCAAGACTCCTCAAGCCAATGAGAAGATTGGTGCCGCACTCTAAACATTATCAGTAACCAGATGCAAATGGCAATTTCTCACTATGTGTAGATGAGAGTGGAATTATTGGGGCACAGAAAGAACTAGGATCTACGGCAATACCACCCTGAATGCGCCCGATCTCGTCTGATCTCGGAAGCTAAGCAGGATCGGGCCTGGTTAGTACTTGGATGGGAGGACACAGAAAGAACTAGGGATCAATTAAGAACCAAGAATACAGCCAACTTGAGTCTGGAGATTATCCAAGCCTATCATCAAAATCAACTCCACATATCCCCAATCCTACTGCTCTTTTTGGGGCTGTGACATTTCCAGAGGCTTCCAAATGGGGTGACTGACTCAGCAAAGACAGATCCTGCTACTCTAGATTTCTCCAGGACCAAGGAAGTCTTAAGACATCACCTTGGGTTCTTATGGGATTGAATTTCCTCAGCCACACCTTTTGGCTAATGTGTTGTCACATTTCTCTTTTGTGCACAGAAGAAGAAAACCAATGCATTAGACAGCAAACCTCCCAAGGCTTCAGCCTACGTGATGGTGATCTAAGCCATTGGACAGCATTTTCTTTCTGGAAACTGAGTGACATCTAAGGACAGTGGCAGATTCCCTGGCAAAAAGCCCTCTGTTTCTGGGCATAGTGAGTGGCCTGATAGAAACATGTTTCTATGGGCTCCCTTCAAGAGGAACAAGGGAAGTCGAAGTAGCACCCATTCTTTGAGGGAGACGCAGCCCTCGCTCATATGCATGGCTTGATGAGCAGAATGTGAGTTGTGCATCAGCTCATGCTCATTCTTTCACCCAGGAACCTTCATGCAGGGCACAACTGACTCAGACAGCCAAAACATAGATAACCATGCTGCATGGCATGCTGTCAGAGTTGTGGCGCTCAGCCATGCTGAGATGCTTTTCCCATGCAACATTAGAAAGTACACTTTCTGGCCAAGCTTTCCTTCTGTGTCACTCCAAGCTTCCTCAACAAGAGAATATCATGCCCACTATTCCCAGTCTGCAAAAGGAATTGAGCAAATATGTTTCTTCCACTTCAGGGAACTGGGCACAACCCAGACATCAAAACAAGAGACCTTGGAGGAACCTGAGTCATTCACAAGAGGGAACTTGAGAAATGATGATGCAGAAGATGAAAGTAGGGCCCCCACCAGTTCCCAAGGCTCAGATCAGAGGGGGAAGAAGTTCGAGCTATGGTCTTGAATCAAGGCCAGCAGCTTCATGATATTGTTGGTTTCAAGCAGGAGCCTAAAGAGATGTCTTTCTATGATCTGTTGGCCATTTCAGGACTTGGTGAAATGATCAATTCATTAGAAAGAAACAGCTTGAAGCAACCCCTCCCTCCCCTCCGTGAGTGGCTGTGAACATGGCAGGCTATGGCAGCCCAGGAGCCACCACATTTACTGGGTCCCATGCCATGCTGGGACCTGGAGCGCTGGGAAATTAGGCAACCCCTCCTGCCCTAGTGAGTGGCTCTGAGTGTGGCAGGCTATGGTGGCCCAGAATGGGAGCCACTGGCATTGACTGGGACCCACACCATGCTGGGACCTGGAGCACCAGGAAAACAAGCAACCCCTTCCCTCCTGCCTTTTTGCTGAGCTCCAATATATATTAAAGTATGGTTTTGAAGACCTAAATCGCCTTCCTCATTCTGTTCAGATCAGTTTTATACTGTATTGTTTTGTATGAATTCACTGTATGTGAAGATATGGACAACTATTTGGAAGAAAACAAGAGACAATATGGTAGACAGTGAAAATCTCAGGTCACCTACCTTTGAAATTTATACCTCTTACATTGCTTTCTTATGTCCTATGTTATTCTGTTTTGTTGTTTTTAATTTTACCCCCTTTAAAATTAAAAAAAAAGAAGAAGAAGTTCAAGCTGAGGCTGAGCGCCCTCTTTCCTCCATCTCCTACACACATGGCCAAACTGGCTGGTCATGAGGCAAAATCACCCAAAACTGAGCCAGACAGTCTTGTGATCATTTGAGGAAATGTTCATCTTTTATGTTAGCAAATCTAACCAGCTAAATTCCAGGCTGGACAGGTTTTTCATTTGGTATAATAAATCTGTCAGTCCTGTAAATGGATCCACAGACTTTTCAAACTTTAATTACTTACCATTATTTGGGCTGCAAGACCCCAGGGAAGTGGTGGTGAACCTGTGATAGCCATGCTGCACAGGGATGTTTGTATCACTGAAAGCTCTAAAAGGTTCACTATCATTGTCTCAGGGTATAAGCTGAGCACTGGGCATTTTCCTGATCTAGCTGACTGGCAACTCCAACACAAACACTGTGATCAAGTCCTGAACTGCAACTGCAAGGTGGCATAAACCAGAGCAGATGACAAAAAATCTAACAGTTGGTAGAGCTAAAGCTGGACCTTGAATGATGGAAAAGATCAGGGTGAAGAATGAGGAAGACAGAGGGCCTCAAAGTGAGGGAAACAAAAAACCAAAGCCTGAGTCTGTGGGGAATATTCAGGTCACCTCCACAAACCCACTCACAGGCCCTATATCCACCACCATCCAACATATGGCACACTATATATGGGCAATAAATGGTGATGAATAGAGTTGAAAATGACCATCCAGCTCAATGAGAAGGGACATTTTAGAAGCAGAGATAGATAGAAGCCAACACACAGTGGAACCAAAGAAAGGAAAGCATTAAACACAAGGATGTAGGCATCAGATGTGGCCTTAGTAGAAGAGCATTTCGCAGAGTTAGATAGACCACCTAAGGGGTGAGGTGAAGCCCTGAGCCAGCACTCCCCAGTGTCCTGGAGAGGCACAGAAAAGCAGGGTAAAGACTTGGTCATTAAGGACAGAGAAGTTTCAAAATGACACAGAACAGGCTGAAATAAAATCATTCCTCATCCTGTGAGTGAGCTGAATACCCTTGCTCTGTAACCTCCCGTTCTGCCCCTGATGATCTCACTCCAATTCCTAGTGTCCTAATGCCCTGCAAACAAAAACAAACAAACCAGAAGCAAGGGCTCTTTAGGCATTCCAGAAGAGCAAACTTGGCATGGAGTCAGTATGTTGGAATTCTTATGGTGGTCTTTGGACTCAAGCCCACCCTTGTCTCTCCTATGAATGCTGCTGACTTAACCAAGACATGAACTACTCACTCCTCTGGGCTCAGTTTGTAGATTCTCCTTCTGTAATGTGTGTGTGATCTTATTTTTCTCTTTGCAACTCTGCAGATGAACTAGCTTGTGACTAACAGTTCTATAAAAATTGAAGTATTTTTCAGTGGAACAGGATCTTGCAACAGACTGAGATGTTTGCTCTGTAAAGCCTGAATGGAAACTGAAGTCTTGGGGACAGACAGGGCCCTCTGGTGGAAAGTGCTGGCAAACCAGGACTGTCCTTCCTGCAGACACTGGGTTTGAGAAATGTTGTGACTTATTCTCCCCAGAAGAAGAAAAGCGTTGAAATTGTTTTTTAAAACCTCTAGAACAGTCTAAATTACACAAAAGAGAATTTGGCCAAGCACCTTAGAAATTGGCATGAGCAGAAGGTCCTGACTGTTCTGGGCTGTGTCACCACAAAACAGGTCTTGGGCTCTCTCTGGAGAAAAGAAATGGCTGGGCTGTATTTTCATTCAGATCTGTTCATTTTCTTCTGTTTCACTTTTCCCTAGATTCCTCTTTTTTGCACATTTGTCTCAAAAATAATTAGCCACAGTCTCTACTGATTGTTAAATGAAGCTTGAGAAGAAAGGACAAGAAGACAGAGTATAACAAGTGATCAAAAGTGTGGGTTTCTTGGTGATGGGTTGTTAGGCAACATAGTTCCTATCTTGTAGGGTTGATGTGGGGGTTAAATAAAATGTTATTATATGCCTGCTCATGATAAAGTCTTGGGGATCCTTTTATAAATTCTTCAAGCTTGAACCCTTCATAAAATGCTACTCCAACCTTACAAAAAAAGTTTCTTGCAAACAGAAATACAGCTGATAATTATATTAAATCGACTTTACATAGCACACTTTAATTCCCAGTCCTGTAGACTCTTATATGTTTTGTTATATACACTGCCTGTGTCCTCTGTCACACCAATTACCTGACACTCTACCCATCCCTCGAAGGGGAGGACAGGAGCTCTGTGTCGATGCACATGGAAGGGGAGAACCTTGAGGACAGGGAGCCTGTCACACTTCATTCTTTTGTTTTGATTGTTTTTAGTCTGTTTGGTTTGGTTTGGTTTTATTCTCTTGAAAAGCTTGGCTAGAGAACTCTGCATCTAGCCAGAGTTGGTTTCATCGCCTATAAGGGATCTGAGTCATACACAAAAGCAAAGAAAGAAACATTATACATTTTCAGTCCTAGGATCATCAGAGTAACAAAGGCAGAAGAATTTGGGGGATTTCCCTGCACTGTTTAGTGGTAACTAATTGACAGTAAATAGTTGTCAATTTTAGGAAGTTCCTATCCCAGTGTAAAGAATTATTGTGGCTTTTTAAAACATTAAAGTGTTGATTTATTTTGGTAAAAAATTATTAGTAAAAGTCTAAACTATAATTTGAGGAACCAATGTAATGACTAGGACATTCTCTGGAGACTCTCAGATTTTGATAATTCATAGAGAAATAGCTTATTCTTGCTGGCTGGCAGATCCAGTCAGTTCTGAAGAGCCCTATAAAAATCTCTGGGTCTGGGCTGGGTCAGCACTGTGTCATAAATATGGCCATATCAATGCAAATGAGAAATTGAGATTTTTTTCTTATGAGGTCTTATTGAAGGAAAAAAAATTATTTATATTATCTGTCAAGGAATTTTTAAATACATATAAATCTCCAACCTTTCATTTATAACCAACATTTCCAATTGTTTATGAGTCACCTCTTCATGAATATCAGAAGTAACCAACATTTCCAATTGTTTATGAATCATCTCTTGATGAATATCAGAAGTTACCTCAAATTCAAGGAGGCAGAAATGAAACTCATGAATCTGACCCTGACCTCTCCGACTTCTTTTCCTTCTCTTTTCCCTATGTTCATTAGTGAGTGTCGTAAACCATAATTACTAAATTTATTGAGTGCATACTATGTACCATTCTCTGTGCTGTTTTGCATATACTAACTCATTTAAAATAAAATAAAATGAATAAAACTCATCTTCTTTTGATTCCTCCATTTTCTTCCCATCACAACAATGCCCTCCACGTGTAATCTCTTATTAGGTCCTGGCACTTCCAGCTCCTCTATATGGCTTCTTTCAACCACGTCCCCTCAATCTACTGACTTCTTCAGTGTACCCTCTCTCTGCAAACCCACTCTCTTTATCATGTATTACCCAGGCTGCTATCACATAAATAATAATTTTTCTAAGGCACAGACTTTACCACTTCATTTCACTATTAGAGAGCTTTTCCTATGGAATGAGACGCTTTAGCTATCTGACCCATCAGGTTTTCCAGTCCCCTCTCTTTCTGCTCCCTGGGCTCCAGCCACACAGAATTGTCACGGGCCTGTGGATCTACCAAATCATTTCCATCTCCCAGGAATGCTTATATCATGACCTCTGCCAGGAGTGCCCTTCTGTTTTTCCCATCCCTGGCCCTTTTACCTTCAAGCTTCAGACTAAGCATTCCCTGTTCATGTAGCCTCCCAAAACTTCCCATCCAAAGCTTACTACAGAGCTCTTTATTTACACACTTACCAAATGAATTACATTCTAGGATAATTGTTCATAAATCAGATTTGTCTGTAAACTGACAAAATGAGTCTTAGTATACCTGTGAAAGTTCACAACTCCTAAATTTGGGATTCACAATATATAGATTATGGGGTTTGGGGCTGTTACAGTTGTGATTATATGTTTTGAGACAGTATCTCACTCTGCAGTCCAGGCAGTCTTGTCATTGATTGATTGTGTCAACTTAAGACATTTAAAAGCTTAACTAAATGGGTTTAGTTAAATGGGATGCCTCATCATCTGGAGGTATAAAAGAGAAGGAGCAAAGATGAATGCATTCCATTTTTTGGAGAAGCTCCAGTCTTCACCTTAGGTTTAGACATTGTCTCCTGGCTTCCAGTGCAGACTCTGCAGGCACAGAGCCTTTAGCCTTCTGTCACAGAGCCATCAGCCTGCTGATATGGACTTGTATAAGACACTAGGTGAACTCCAGACCTTTGGATTGAATTCTTGGGCCTCCAGTATGCAGACCCCCTCCTTACCCTTCCTCATCCGACTCTGGGGCTGACCATCGTAAGCCAATCTTGTCATTTCTTACACATTTATATATCTCGTGTTATATCTGTTTTCTCTAGTAAAACCCTGACTAATACACTGTTGCCTAGGTTGACCTTGCATGTCAGATTCTCCTGCCCCAACCCCCTGAGTGCTGCAATTACAGGCATGCACCACCATGGCCAGTTGTGAGGTTAGCTTTTTTCTTCTTCCTGTTTGTCCATTTTGTGATATTGTCTTAACTGTCTCTCCAACTGATCAGTGAAATATCTAGCAATCAAAGACTTTCCCTTTTTTAGTTTTATTTACTTAATGAAATTCAAATCTTCCAAAAAGCTCATTGGGGGGCAAGCCACTCAGGACCCCCTTCTGTCTCTCTTCAGACAGAAGCTTTCTTTCTCTCAATAAATACATTCTACTCTTCACCTCCTTTGTTCCTAAAATTCACTCTTTAGTTCCAGAGAACATGAACTCATGGAAATAGTAGGTTGGGAATTTCATTGCCCTATGTCATTTGGAGGTCTTCCACCGAGATCACTAGACAGAGGTGAGAGTTTGCTTTTGCTTCATAGACTCTGGACTGGGACTCATTTAGGTAACAAATTATTATGCTTCAAATTTTGCTTCGTCTTTGCCAGTTGTTTATAACTTGTTGTGATGATAATTGCTTACTATTTGCCCATTGTTTTTAATTACTTTGTCTCACATAGCTTTACTAAAATAAGGTGAATCTAAGGTAAAACATGCAAAATTTATAAAGTTATGATATTTCTTTAATGGTATATTATTATTTTGTTCTTGTACAAGTTAAATTCAAATTGGTTGCTAAAGTTACTGATACTCCTTGCTTGATTGTATTTAGACAATAACAGTAGAGAAATATATTAGAACACTTTTAACAGGCTCTAATGTGAACTTCTATAAAATGGTTCTCTTAAATGGAAATCTAGCTCAGATTTAGAAAATATACATGCCTACAAAAACTGGGACTCCTTCCACCATTTAAGCAGCACTAGGCTGGTGGCCGGTCTTAAGACTTGGAGGACAGGTTTCATTGAGATGTACTGGCTCTGATCCTCCTGTTTGGTCTAGAGGAAATGTCAAGCCTGTTCTGCTTCAGTTTTCAACTTTTGACTTTACCTCTACTCATTTCCTGCTTTACACTTTCCTTATAGAGGCATGTAAAGTCAGAAAGAACTGTAGACTATTCAAACCTTTTCCTTGTTAGTTAAGCCCATAGAAAATGAACATTTGCTAAACCCAAAAACAAGGAAGTCATCTTGCATAAAGGACACATACCCTGTCTCTGGGTCAGATGAGACATTGATCGGAATTGTGCCCATCCAAGAGAACACACATAAGAGCCACCAATCAGTGTTCTGGGCAAATATCCTTTGGAGATTAAACCTGAGACACAGAAGGGAGAACCAGCTTCCTGTGACAGCAGAAGAAGCTTTCAAAAACAGCACACATAGGAGACCTAAACACATTAGAATAAGGAGACTCTCCAATCTCTCAAGTTGTGGACTTTAGAACCTTTATTATAAATTCATAGAGCAGTAGATAATGATCTTGCTCAGACCTTTATCCCTCATAGAATTTTGACAAACAGTGGTTACTATGCCAGCTAATTAATTGCCCTTATAGCAGCTCTTATAGCAGTGCCACCCTCAAAAGCAGAGGACAGGTTTCTGCAACATCTAGTTGATGAATCCCCATTGAAGCCAGTGGCCAATGGAGCCAATGGAATGTTGACCAGACAGACAGCTGGATTCCTTTCTGGAGACTGATCTCTGGCTATCTGAGCCAATAAAAACAGAACTGAGGGCTCCTCACCAGGGAAACTCTCTGGTGAACACCCAAAAGTTCCTCAGTGAACATTTGCTCAAGACCACTGAAAATCTCCACTTTTCTATCTTTATTTCTAAACTTTCCAATGGAATTTCAGATCATTTAGACTACCTTCCCCCACCTTTAGGAATAAGACTGCTGGTAGCTTTCTTAGAACAGGTAGTAGAAAAGAATTTGCATTTGTGCCTTACATATGTTAATTAAGAGTAAATAGGCTTTTCTTTTTTGTGTGCCTAGAAAATTGATGTGCCTTTTTCTAATGCAAATTGTGATTGCTAGATAATGACTTAGGAATTTACAGCTTTAAAGATATAGAAATTTAAATGAAGTATAGCCTTATCTTGTTACTAGGAAAGGTTACCTAGGTAATTAAGTGAGAGACAAATGCCAAGAGACTCCTTTGCCAGTGCACTGGGCAAGGCTCCTCCAGTCAATTATTCTGGCTATCTTTAGAGGAGAGTTACTTTACAACCTGAAAAGCATTCTATACTCTCTTCTAATAACAAAGTTATTACAAAGTTATGCTTTCTTCTTTAAGTATTCCTTATGGAGACAAAGTTCATGAGCTATCCGGGAAGACAGGATTGCACGTCACACCGAGGGTGGATAGGCTGACCAAATCTATCTTCCGTTCTCTCCAGATGGCATCCACTGGCTCTGGGGTGATAGAACTGTGGGGGACCGGCAGCAGCTGAAAAGATAAGACATATGAAATATAAATGACCTTTATTTTGAGAATGCGGGGAGAAACACCCCCGATCCCCTGGGGCATGGCATCTCCACCCGGGGTTGGCAATTTTTCCGTGGAACATGTGGAGTGAGGCACATAAATAGCCTCGGTTTGGGGTGGAATCTAAGGGGGCATTAGGGATGCACAGGTAGCCCATTGGTCTTTGTTTGGCACCATAGGTAAATTCCTAAGGGTGGGGGGGATGGAGCTTCTTGGTTCCAGCTGAGGCTTTACCAGCTACAGTGTCCGACCTGGGCCAAAACCCTTTAATATACCGTCTTACGATTATTATTATGAAAAGGGGCAAAGATTTCTCTCTTTAACTGCTTCCTGCTGGCAGAGAGCACTGTACTGAGGTCTAGGGGAGTTGACGGGATGATGGTTGATGCCCAGGTACACGCTGGTGCCAGGTGTTTTAACCAGGACAACTTCACTGGTGAATGCATGAATATTAGACTGGAAAAACAAAGAGACAAGATGTTATGAGGAGACATGGCACTGTCATATTAAGGACCCAGGTGAGGTAAAAGGAAAGGTGCCTTTGATTTAAATATGTCATTATATCAGGACCATATTGAGATAGAAACATTTCCACGGTAAGGCAGAATTCTGAAAATTAAACGTGGAGGGGCTGGGGATTTAGCTCAGTGGCATAAACGCCTGCCTTGCAAGCAGGCAATCGTGAGTTCGATCCCTGGTACCAAGAAAAATGAAAAAGACCAAAAAAAAGAAGAAAAACCCAGAAAATTAAACGTGGAGTTAGGAGGAGTGAAGTTATGAGAGGTGTTTGCTCGCCCATCTGAAAGGGTTAAAGTTAAAAGGGTAGGTAAGTAAGGCTTGTCTCTGGTATGGATGATGTTGGAGTCTTTAGAAAATACTGTTAAGAGTCTTGCTGTAAAAAGGAATAAGAAATTAGAAACCAAATTGGATAACAAAACATTACAGCCTGAGAGTTGTGGCTGTGAGGGCTTGGTAAAGCAGAGATGAGTAGGAAAAGGATGGTCAGATCTAGGCCTGAGTGATGTGAAACCAGAATGGCAGTCTAGCAACTTTGATTCGGGTATAGGTCACTGTAACCTGGTTGTAGTCCTTGGAATGATTTGCTGTAATGGAGATTTAGCAAGTATATCAGTAGTTTTCCTGGTTGTGGGAAAGGCATTTATGTATCCTGAAAAAGTATAAACAAAGTGAGAAGACAAAATGTATCTACCAGCCTTGACCAGTGTTGCCTGAGAAATTGGTGAATAAGAAAGGAAGGAGGTGGTCTTATATCACTGAGGAGAGGTTTACTAGCAATAACAGGTGTAAGCTGTTGAGGCCTCAGTGTGTCTAAGTTAGCCTGT